GATGAGCACTTTAAAGTGGTTCCTCTTCAGCAGATGGGCATGGTTGGCCTCCAGATGCTTCACCTGGCTGCTCTGTCTATCCAGGCGCTCCCTCACCTCCTTCACATTGAGGCCAGTCTTGCGCGAGCGCTCCAGCAGCTTGGCCACGCTGTTGGCTGTGGACATGTGGTTCTTGGTGAGGCGGGTCACATCACCCTGCACCATCCTCACCGCCCCCTCCAGCTCGGCCTGCTTCTTCTCCATCCTCTGCTGGTTCTCCTGCACTGTCTCGATCATCACCATCAGCTTGTCGAGCAAAGCCACCACCGTGATGGCGCTGACCTGGCCGGCAGGGGCTGTGGGGATGGTCAGGGACTTAGAGCCCAGACGGGAAAGGGTGTGGACGGGGGAAGAGGGCACCGAGCCGGGACTGAAGCTCGAAATGAGGAGATCCTGAGCATCTGGAACTGGTGGTGTGGGGGTGCTTTCCTCCCTGGGTAAGGTAGCTGTGCTTCGCTCTGCGTGAGAGGAGTCTTCACCCATCCTGGAGTCAACGCTGGTGGTTTTGAATGACAGGGTTAGATTGACTCTCACAGACACTCTCCTGCCTTCTGCGCCTCTCTAAAAACAACATTCCCAACACTCCACTTAAAAACTCCCCACACACCCAGGGGAGGGGCTTGGTTGCCGTGGTATTTAGCTCAGCCCTTTAGAGTAATGTGAGTAAAGAGTGTCAGTGTGAAAGTGTGCTACTGCAGGTGTGCATTTTCCCTCGATGCAATTTCAGTATTGTTTGATCAGCTTGAATTTGCTATCAGTAATGGTTTTGAAAATGTTTGTTTGTCATATGTATGAAATGTCAGATTCAGAAACACCAGCAACAGGAATGTTTGTGTCAGGGAAATGTTGGTGTGTCTGTGTAAATGCACCTGAACGTCTCTTCATGAATCTCTGCTGGCGTTTCTATTCTTAGCTGTCTGGCAGACTGGGGAAATGTCACACAGGGAAAAATGAAAATCAGTGTTTGAACAGTGAACTCAGCTCATCTGTGGCAGTGGCACCATGCCAGACTCAAACCACACACACACGCTCACTGCATGAATGCCATGTTTAAGGGATAACTTGTCCAAAAAATACAATTCTGTCATCATTTGCTCTCATCCCCTCATATTGTTCCAAACTATATGACAAAAAGAGATGTTTTGAAGGATGTTCATGCTGCTCTTTTCCATACACTGAAACTGGATGGAGACCAGAGGCCGTCAAGTTTTTAAAATATGGTAATCATTCACTTTTATCATATGGAAAAGATCAGCTTAGACCAGGGTTATTACAGTTAACTAAAATGAAAACCATAAACTTAAATAAAATAAAATAAAATAAACAAACTGAAATGAAAAAAAAAACTCATCACATTATTCACAGAGAGAACAAGCAACATATTTTACAATAACTTTGATGCTAATTGTACAGGGTGGAAGTACAGTAAACAAAGGACATCCAGCAGACAGCTCACAGTAATCATAATCATAAACTGAAGAGCATTAAAAATGAAATAAAGTGCGTAAATGATGTCTTATGATTTATTCGAGACATAAACCCATGTCAGACTTTGAATGTTAACAATGTATTGACTCTTGCTCAATAGTCTGAATGAACAAAGAGAAGGAACGACACTACCTCATTCATAGATCCGTGACCATGAAAGTAAACACATCACCTGGAAATCTGGTGTGGTGATTTCTCAAAGATAAACAAGCTGACCAGAGGTCATTTTCTGAATAATGACAATCATTAGCACAGAATAACATGCATAACTTAGATATCTGTTTGAAAGTGTTATCAAAGAACAAGGACAAGAATCTAACATAAAATAAACTTTATCTCCCATATCCGTTCATTTCCTGAGACTGAGGCGATTAGCTCCCTCTCCTAGGCTCAGGCTGCCTGCATGCACATACATAAGCACAGAAAACCACTGCTAATGTTTCCTATGTTGTAGTTTGGTGGGGTATGTGTCTTCTCCCGTCGTGTGCTCAGACTATACAAATCAAAAAGCATCACCCAAGTGACCCCACATCCACACATGGATATCTACAGATAGGTCAGGCCAAAACAAATCACATATCCTTAAAGGGATAGTTCACCCAAAAACATTTACTCGCCCTCACATCGTTCCAAACCTGTAAGACTTTCTTTATTTTGTGGAGCGCAAAAGATATTTTGAAGAATGTTGGAAACCAACCATTTTTTGGTGACCATTGACTTCCAATGTATGGACAAAAAACACTGAGACATTTCTCAACATATCTTCTTTTATGTTCCATAAAAGAAAGTCAGTCATACAGGTTTGGACTGACATGAAGGTGAATAAATGACAATAGAATTCACTTTTTTTTTTGGTGAATTATTCCATTAAAAAAGCTTTCTAATTTCTTAAGGCTTAAACCATTCCATAATCAGCCATTGCATAGTGCAGTGAGGCCTGACCTCTGCAGGTAGAAGGTACTCACTGCACTAAAAATAAATATAATAAATACAATAAAATAAATAAATAAATAAACAAACTTTCGGTTTAGCATTGGTATTTCAAAAACCCAGTCAGACTACAAACCACAAAACATGAAAGCAAAGAAAATAAGTGCATGATAGGGAGAAATTATTATATTTTTGGACCACATGTGACAATGTTTCAGTAAATGAATGCATGCTGCAGCTGGATACTGATACTGACGTGACTGTTATTGAGATCTCACTCAAATAGCGTTGCATGATTTGTGTTTCAGCTTCATGGGAAAAGTCCTGAGTGTCACTGCAAAGCACACTAAAGTTATGCCTGTGTTATATATAATTGCTACCTTTGTTAAAAACTTGGATGGCTTCGCTTGTAACCGGTTCTTCAGTTTGACTCTTAGGTGAATGCAAATTGTTCGGTGCCTGTGAGAGATTGCGCTTGTGGCATCACAGTAATGAAAACGAAAAAGACTTCAGTCTTCATTAGCTGAATGATAGCAGACAGATTTCTTTCTCTTGCCTCTAGGACCTTTTGACCAGTGATGACAAAAGCAGTAGATGGAAAAAAATTGAGAGATAATTTGACAATTTTCCCTCAAATCTTGATGGCCCTGAAGAACAGTATTTTTCAAAGCCCTCTTAACCACCCATATTAAATGCCATTCCCTTGCTTTATTAATGTATTTATTTTTGTGAAGAGCTTGAAGAATGAATTTTTTTTTTTAACATTTATTTTTATTTATATGTTTTAAAGCAGTGCTTCCCAGCCAGGTCAGGGTATAGCTACAAAAAAGAATTACTGTTAAATGGCTACTGTGTGCTGAATGACATCCAGTGTAATATAAGTAAAAAGGAATACATTTCTGGTTTGGTTCAAAAGCTTGTAATGGTTCTGGTTGAGACTGAGATACAATGTAACAATGGCAGATTCAACTAAAAGCAAATGTATTGATTGCAAACTTGTGTTAAGACTTATGAAGGTGTTGGAATGGATCAGATAAGCGCTGTCTTCACTGGCTTGGCAACTGATTCAGCATTGCTGAGAATGCAAAGTATGTCTACTATGTATGAGCTCTATTAGTCTACCAAGAAAGCAAAGTGAAAATCATATACCAAATTCATAGTCTTTACTGCATCACAGTGTCACCAGGGCTACAATTTCATCCTGCATTGAGCCTGAGAATAAAGGGTCTGCTTAGTGGAAGCAGAACACAAACATACAAATGTATACTCATTTTCATTAAGGCTCTCTCTTACCCCTGTGGCACACTGACTGTCAGACAGGAAGGTCTGGGGATGAAGTAGGAAGAACTTCTGCAGACAAGGAACGTCCGGAATTCCTTAGTCCTAAAGGGTCCCGTCCTCCACATGACCTTTAAAGGTCAGTATATTCTCTCTATCTCTCCTGTTTTTTTAAAATTAAAATAACTTAGTTACTGACAGTATCATGTGTAATTACTAGTTTTGTTTGAAGCTACACTATTAATGTGCATTTGTCTTTTTTCCTGTTTTTGCTGGGGTAAAAATGACCACAAAAGAAAACAAAAATAATAAAAATTATTTTGGATAAGTCTTATCTTAAGACTTATCTTAAGTCTATAATTTTGAAATGTACCCCTATAATTTTTTTTAATGAAATATCTTATGCTCACCAAGGCTACATTTATTTAATCAAAAATACAGTAAAAAGAGTTTTTGTATATATTTGAATATTATTACAATTTTAAATAACCATTCTCTGTTTTAAATTGTAATTTTATTCCTCTGTTGGCAACATTTAGTGTCACATGATCCTTCAGAAATCAGAAACATTTCTTATTATCATCAATGCTGAAAATAGTTGCACTGCTTAATATTTTTGTGGAAACTGTGACATATTTTTAGAGGATTCTTTAATGAACAAAGAATTCAAAAGAACAACATTATTTTAAATACAATCTTTGTAACATTAGAAATGTATTTACTGTCACAATTTAATGTGTCTTTTCTGAATATCCTTTTATTTATTTTGTAAATGTTGCTGATATCAAACTTTTAAACTATAATTTACATGATTGGGGTCTCTGGGACAGCAAACATTAAAAACAGCAAAATAAATCTTTATTTATAATAAATTGTTGAATCACCTCGCTAGAAACCCCTGAAACTGACCATATACCTTCAAGTTAGATCCTTTAAAAGTCATGGCATCCACAAAAGAATAAGGAAAAAGAAAAAACACACTGTGCTTTGTGATATAAATTATTTATTTACATTACAGAAAAAGGACCCCATCAAGACAAACAAATTAACTATTGGAAATATTACCCATACATAACCAAATAACAGGACTTGTCCCATCATGGTGTCCTAAAATTCTCTGTTTGTGTCCTGTGCCACAGGTGCAAGGCATTGTGTGTAGAACCCATCGTCCTCCATCCTAAAAGTCATGGCATCCACAAAAGAATAAGGAAAAAGAAAAAACACACTGTGCTTTGTGATATAAATTATTTATTTACATTACAGAAAAAGGACCCCATCAAGACAAACAAATTAACTATTGGAAATATTACCCATACATAACCAAATAACAGGACTTGTCCTATCATGGTGTCCTAAAATTCTCTGTTTGTGTCCTGTGCCACAGGTGCAAGGCATTGTGTGTAGAACCCATCGTCCTCCATCTCTCCATCCAGCAGGATGCAGTGTCTCTGTGGGGACGGAGAGCAAGTTTCTTATTTTCTGTCCTCTGTCCAAACTACGTTTCCCATGATTCTCTGCTCACGGGCTCAAATGAGGCGGGTGGAGGCGCGCAGGGTGTTTTCAGAGTTGTAGTGCATTGTGTTCTGCTTCTGTCGGTTGATTCTGTTGGTCCGTGGGCACTTCCTGCAGAGGAAGGAAGCAAAAGGACATCCTTATCATTCATATAACTTGCTTCCACCAGGCAGCTCTATGTTATTTCTAATCAAAACAATGCCTGGAAGGAAAAAAACTCATATTTCAGAGCTTAAAAAAAAGTAGCTATAAAAATAGCTACTTATTTAGAGTTTGGATTGGAAGTTTTTAAAAGAATGTTTCATGCTGATATGACTTGAAACAGTTTACAGAATCTTTGCTCTAAATATTGCTCTCTTTCTTTCACTGGAGAAAATAATAATAAATAATGGTAAATGTGCTCAATCATTGTTAATTTAGCTTCATTGTCAGTATTCATTTATAATAAATAAATGAATACTGACAATGAAGCTAAATTAACAATGATTGAACATATTGAACACATTTACTTTTCTGATGTGTAAAGTAAATATTACAGGAGATGAGTGAGTTATTTAGTGCTGCTAGTGCACACACACCCTTCAACAATGACCTTTCATGGAGTGTAAAGTGTGTTATTCTGCAGACTCCTGCTGGCAGGAACTCTCACTTTATGAAGAGCTGCGAGTGTGTGCGATCTATCTACCCAGGAGGTAGCTGTCCTCTGCTTTGTTTCGCAGTAGCACATCGTGTGTGATATAATGCTGTGGTGTGTGTTTATACTCACCGGGTGATACACAGCACCACTACACATATGATGGCCACCTGCAGAATCCCAATGACAGACGCGATGAGGACGTAGCGGAGCTTTCCAGAGCCAGGCACCACATACAGCACATTATACTCCTTAGTGTCACACTGTGGACCACTGAATCCTGAGTGACAGCTGAAGAAAAGAGGAAGAAACACAGCGTTATTAGATTAGATGTGTGTGCTTGAGTCCTGATGAGTGTTGATTTATTCAGGTTGTTTTTAAGAGTCTACTCTCTCTGTAATATATCTGTTCACACACATAATTCAGTGTTTCTCACTCTCAAAGTCTTTCCTTAGAAACACCTGCTGTTGTACTGCAGCACCTGCCAGAGAGACTCTCCTGTTCTGTCTTATTATTTCTCTCTAGTTCCTTTTCTTTTGTTTATCTGTGACTGTTAAATATGAGTTTCACAACTTGAACAGCCAATTATTTTTTATAAGCTGATGTGTGCAGTATTCCTGTTTAATACCTTCTTCTGTCCCAGTTTAATCTGTAGAAATGACTTGTAGATTGAATTCCTTAAAAAATGTAACAATCAAACAATGACATAGTTTTTTTTTTGGTGACAGCACCATCTGTTTGTACTACCAATGAAAGACCAAGGTTAATATAGTTAACTAAAGCTCAAACCATAAAACTTAAACATATTTTACTTCTGCTAGTTGCCAAGAAAACATACCCCATTTTCATTTAGTTTAACCAAATGTAACTAAATAAAGCACTAAAATAACTAAAACCATAATTAAAACTAATAAAAACTATAGACATAAAAAAAAAAATACAAAACAAAATTGCTAAAACTTAAAAATGAAAATGGAAAGCATACAAACAAATTCAAACAGCTAATAAAAACTATAATAATATGTCAATCATACTAAAATAACACTGAAAAAAGGGGAGTGTTTGGAAAACTTGTTTTTTTTTAATGAGGCAGATCTTTCTTGGTTTGAACACTAGGGGGAGACGAGGATCTGTGATACAGTGTTACATTCACTATCATAAAAGGTGTATGTCTAACACACACACTTATTCCCAGTGTATTTTTGTAGACAGGATACGCTGCCGTAATCAGAAACATCAAGAGTGTGTGTGTGTACCTGCAGGACGGTGTTGAGAGCATGTTGGGATATTCACAGTCTCCGTGAATACAATAGTTCTTATAGCGCTCAGGGCAGGGGATGTACAGCCCTCTTACCACCTCTGAAACCTCAGGCTTCTCCTCTGTAATTCAAACACAGTGGGTCAGAACAGCTCAAATTCACGGGCACTTCAAAATTAAAATCAACTTTTTATAATTAAACACCCACCCACCTGTGTAGTCTGTCCTGGCATATTGTCCATCTCCTGCTTTGGTGCCTGTAATCATGTCGCCTACAAGATAGGAATGAATGCAGAAAAAACTTAATAGAAAGACGTTATTTTGTGGCACACCATCTTTTTAAAACATCACATTAAATATAGATTTTAAGAATAATCAAAAAAATCTATCAAACTGTTTATGGCATGCAGCAAATTAACTAATGCTGTGCTATCATTCAAAAGTTTGGGTTCGGAAAGATTTTTACTTTTTTAATGTTTTTTTTTTAATGATAAGTCTCTTATGGTGATAAAGGCTGCATTTATTTGATCAAAAATACTGTAAAAATAATATTGTGAAATATTTTAAATACAAATATTAATAAAAAATGATACGATCCCTCAGAAATCATTCTAATATGCTGATTAAGAGCTGAAGAAACAGTTCTTATTATTATCAATGTTGAAAACAGTTATTGCTTTTTTTTATTATAAAAAGTATACAACACAACAAAGAAAAATATAAATAACACATACACAGCAAATTTTGTCCCACAAACAACATACTTGCCAGGAAAGGACAGTTTTAAGTATTTCGTTTATTCTGTTGCTGGAAGATTCAATCAATCAAACGAACACTTGTTTTTATGCCTACAAGAAAATTGCTTTTGTAAGAGCTAGTTCTGCAAAGGGTGAACATTATGGATTTAATGTACACCTCTCCATCATGTATGAGTGTGTTAAGCTCAGCATTTTCACAGGCATCCTGCGCGACTATGGCCCTGCAACATACACAGATTACAATGGTAAAAAATACTGGCCCCTTTACAAAAGGTCTGCATCAGCGGGAACTGCAACCTCGCATAAACATTAACTGACATTCATAATTGCCCATTTGGCTTGAGGCTGGATGAATTACCATTAGAAACAGATTAACACCAACATCAACAACGTTTTTATGATGTGACTACTCTATAAATGTTTATAAGGGTGTCAAGATTGCAAATGTAATGAGTAAAGTCTGTTTTTAATCTTCTCGTATCAGCGTGAAGCTAGAAGGGAAGGCTCAAGAATGAACGTGGATTGGCTCGACCTGGATGCTGCAGTGATTTTCAATCTATAGCACATTCTTGAGTCTATCATCTCAGGGGCTTAATGACTAGCACAGAAGACTGGCTTAGCAACCAAAGCACTGCCAACACATCAGTGGAGAATAATACAACGCTCCGTTTCAAACGAGAATGATGAGTTCCGACACTTTGAAGTTCCTTTGCTCGTTTTAATGGCTGCTCTTATTCAAATGCCTTCATAACGACGGTAATGAGCGCTTGTGCGCGTACGTGCAGATGAAAGGTGATACGCTTCTGAGAAGGAGACAAAGACGCATTGAGTCCTGGACAAAGTTTCTGACATTTGCAGCCGGGAACACACGCAACCTTTGCATTCGTGTGTGAATCGGTCATTCATGTCTGCCTGAGAGTATCGAAAACCTGTCATCTAGTCTTCATTGAGTAATGTTCTGTGAGTGTATTTGGCATATTAATATTTCTCAAAGGACTTGACAAGAATTTATGGTCTGTATCTTCAACGTTCAGGTTTTTCTGCTATAGTTTCTCTCTAAAGTCTATATGTGTTGTCTGTGTGCCACTGCAGGAACATGTTGAGAAGAAATGACAATTAAACTGCCGTCCCCAGTCACTTCTTGCTGCAGCAAACAGATGACAGTATAATTATAAATCTGTCATTATTTTTGTGTGTGTGTGTTTTTTCTTCAACTTTCCTTTTTGATATTTTCACCCTGCCAGTGAGCTTTAGTGATGTACAGAGGCGTTTTGTATTCTGGCACTACTGGAATAATGTGAACTGACTACAAATATGAGATAAAAATATCTGTTTTAAATAGAGACGTTGACTGAATTGAACTGTGGCATGGAGTCAACTCAAGGGCAGCTTTGATTGTTTGCCATTGCTAATTGAGATCTGTAATGCATACTAATTTAGATAAATGATATAAAAACAAACAGGCACAATGATATTGAGATGTATTTATTGTGAAGCACCGGTAATGCTCACACACACACACACACACGCTCTCCAGTATGACCGTCTGTAGTGGTCATAAAGGCTAATGTGTCTTGAGAGCATGAATATTTAATGTCACCTCTCACATTCTCTAGGCATACACACACACTGCAAATGCACTGCAGGCTAATGTGTCTTGAGAGCATGAATATTTAATGTCACCTCTCAAATTCTCTAGGCATACACACACACTGCAAATGCACTGCGTCAACAACACACACACACACACACACACACATATCAAAGATTTCCAATACCAAATCAAGTAATAATGGCTTTGCGAGTGAGTCAAACCGAAGGGTTGAGATTTACTTAAAAATTCAGGTTGTTTGGATGGTAGCCTCTGTATGTGTGTGAGTGTGTTTATCTTGTTGAGTGAGGGGATATATCTTATTGATTTGTAAGAGCCATGTGGTTTCTCTGTTATCTAAACTTTTCCAGCATGGCCTGTGGGCTTCCTGTCTGTCCAGCTGCTCTTTCCTAGCACACTTTAGCCTCCCTCTCTCTCTTTCAATGGCAGGATTATGATGAATGAGTCTGTACTTTGTGAGGATTAGTCTCGGTTTGTATCTGTGATAGTTTGATGACGAGTTTTGGCTTTTTGATCCCAATGTTTTAAATGTTTGATTTAGATTAGTAGTGTTAACTTGGTTAGTCTCAGAACCAGCTGATTAATTGGTCATTTTAGCGTCCAGAGGTTTGTATTGCTTTAAAATGAGGTGATTAAACTTGATATTAATTGCATCAATCAATCAATCTATTCACCCATCCATACATACATACATCATTCGGTCTATCCAAATAAGAGACCTAGTGTATTTCGAGCTTGTTTATAATAAAAGTTCTGTATTATGCTTTTTTATTTAATGTAACATATTTTAGTATAAAATCTCATGGTTCCTCCCTGGACCGTGCTGCCACAAGGAAGACAGACTAAGAACATTATTTAACATTCACTATATAATTCAGTATATATTACTTTAATTGGCAAAATAACCAATTTATTGCTTTTCTTTAAACACAGTATTATAGTACTGACAAAATCCAATATCTGTCTGTCTGTCTACGGTATCTAAAGAGTTTATAAAATCAAATTTAAGACTTTAAGACCTTTTTAAGACCCGCACATTTAAAATAAATACTGTATGTAAACACAGATCAAACCTATATAATCTTTTGTAAAAAAAAACATATCATATTTATTTGATTATTGTGCTGATACTAGTAAAATGTATATACTGAAGGTGTTAAATAATATGTTTAATCTTTTCTTCCTGTTACAGGGCAGACCAGAGAGAAGCCACAAAAGTTTACAATGCATTAAAACCAAGATAGTTTACTGTGCATCCAAAATACCAAAAGGTTAAGCATAATACAGAACATTTAAATATAAACCAGTGTCTGTGCTTTCAGCTGCTCATTAAAAAAGATGAGGGAGATATAATATGCACTTTTACAACCATCCACAACAATGCCACGTTTTGACTTTGAATGTGTAGCACTCACATTAATGTAATTAAATCATAGCTTTTTGAATTTTAAAGGGGTCCTATTATGCTCTTTTACAAAGTCTTGATTTTGTTTTGGGCGTGTACTAAAACATGCTCCCATGCTTGGTGGTTCAAAAAACGCATTATTTTTTCACATAATTTACATTATTAAAATACCTTTCTCCCTAGCTTGGCACAAACAACTCGATTAGCTCCGGCTTTGATGAAGGTCCGCCTTCTGAAAAACAAACTGTGTTGTGATTGGTTAGCTGTCCCAGTGCGTTGTGATTGGCGAACAGCTTAGACGGTGTTTCAGTACTGCCCCGCCCCTTGCTCCGTCTTTCAACAAAAGCTTTTGGGAATCCGCCACTGTACTCCCTCGTATTGTGGAAGCTGTCCTTGGTAAAATGTGCAGCACACAATAGCAAATTGGGGTTATAATGCTCAGAAACAGAGTTAAAAAATAAATTGCAACCACTGTTTCCTGACATAATCCGCTTTTGGAAGCCCAAACAAAGACTTTTGGGCACGAAGGTGAACAAAACTGCGTTTCCGGCAGTCGCACACTGGACGAGAAGCGCAGCGTCGCGTCGCGCCACGTCTTTAAAATTCGAATACTTTATTTTCTATTAGTGTAGACACATTGGCGGCACCATTCGGCGTCTGTCCGCGGTGCCCAGCTATGTCGTGTTATACTTGTAAGAATTGTTCTAAACATGCCGAAAATGTAGCTCTTCTTCTTCGTTTTCTCTGATGCACTAACTCTGCAGCAGCACTTCTTCTTCACCGTCATCTTGTCTGATGCACTCAACCAAGCGTTCTAACCACAACCTCGTCCCTCCCCACCCCCCAACCATTCGAATTTCTGTAGGCGGGAATTATTTTAATGATATTCTAATGAGACGCTTTGTGATATCACAAAAAATACGAAATATCTCCCTTTCGAGTGGACTTTGAGATTTGTAACTTTCTAGATCTTTTTATGCCCAAACATACACACTGCACACTGACTATTCCTGTTTTTCTGTCTGCAAATTTAAAATGTCCTAAAATTATAATTAATTCTGTCTATCTATCTGCCTGTCTATCTATAGGCTAATTCACACTGCACCGACAGATGCCACCCATAACCAGATTACAGTATCTATGTGTCTGTCTATCTCTGTTTATATACTGTATATCAATAATACTGACCAAATTCAGCTCTAATTCCAGACATTCCAAGAATACATTGTCAAACCCAGTGAAAAAAATGATCCAAGTTGTGAGAAATGTTGATTAGAAATAAACAACTCATTCCATACTAAAAATATAATTGAAAATAGTTCAGTGCAATTGAAACTTATTCTACACAATATTTCTGTGTGCAAGGTATTTTATGCATCCTATATTAGTGACTTTACTGAATTCAATATTACTTCTATCTTTCTCTCTCTCTCTCTGTTAAACACACACCCAAGGACTAGGGTCCTAACAGCCAAATCCGGTGCTTGTCACTACACACAATCAGTGCACAAACACACACAGACGTTATTAATGCAGCTTATAGCATTGATTTTATTTATAATCTCTCATCTCATTTTTTTCAGTAATACTTCAGATGACACAGGAAGATGGAAAAATGGAGGGAGACTAAAAAAAAGAAGGGCTGCTGAGAGAGGTAGAGTGTTTTTGGTAGAGGAACAGTGAGGTGAGTGAGTCATCTGCAGTCAAGTGTATCAGAGCGAGAGGCCTGTCATGGGACCATCCCTACGACTCAGGCATAAATGCCTCAAATCGTGCTGATATCTCTGAGGAGGGAGTGGCTGGGCTGTTTCATTCTGATGCCTCCAAACACTCCAGCTCTCCAGCCAGTGCTTGCTGAATCTTTGGTGAATCTACAGGCTGTCTTTGCCAAGGCCGATATGTAATTCCCTTCAGACGCCCTGAGAGAGATAGGCAGGAGGGAGGAAGAGAGGCCTTCTTCTATTAAGATTAAAGGGTAGTCTCCTTCACTCTTGCTGACAGTTTGAGCTGTTCACTGACGGCCAGGGCAACGAAAACCTCCTTTCCACATCTATGGGTGGATTTTAAATATATCATGTGAGTCATGATTTTTTCACATGTTTACAACTAAAATAGATTCTCTAGAAATGATAAACATTTCTCATTGAATATAGCATGAAGATGTTGTTAGAGGAACAAAGTGGATGTTGAGGCTTTCTGCTTATTTTTGATTGAATATTAATGATTTCTCATTGCTGGAGCACCAGAGCTAAGCGGCCATTCATCAGCAAAGATGAAACTGTCATAATTGGCCTTGTTTCTTGCTCATTTATTTTGGGTAAGTTTGTAAAGTTCATAATCAAAGAACTGAGATTTGTTAAAGTGTGTGAAACAATCTCATATTCCATATCATGCCATTGACAGCACCAACAAATCTAACAGTCAGTCTGCTTCTGACCAGAGAAAGCATTCAAAGATAGCACCTCAGTTGTAGGTATTGAGGGTGGAAGAGAGTGCTGGTCATTCACTCCCCCTACCTACATTTCCTGCTGGTACCGAGACTCGAACCTGCGACCTTCAGGTTACAAGTCTGACTCTCTAATGGCCACAATTGCCCCCTAAACTCATACCGGTTTGGAACGACATGAGGGTGAGTAAATAATGACAATTTAAATTTTTTTTTTTTTTTGGTGAACTGTACCTTTAACCCTTAAATGCATACCTTGGGTCTTTAGCAACCTAGGATATCATTCACTACTCTCTCCCTCCTTCATTTTTGAAAGTTAGACATCAACTTTCTTACTATTCCTCAATCTATTCATTATAAACAATATAACAAGAAATAATCATAAAATATAAAAGATTGTCTGTTTTCTGATTTATTTTTTGTAAAAAGTGTATAGGGTCGCTAGCGACCCAAGGTATGTAATAGTGTAAGTACACTCTAAAAATCACTGGGTTAAAAACAACCCAATTTGGGTTGTTATTAACCCAAGGGCTGGGTAAATATAGGACAGAACCCATCTTGGGTTAAATTTACCCAGCAAATTGGGTTGTTTATTTAACCCAGCATAATGGGTTGATTTAACCCAGCTAATGGGCTTATTCATGTTTACTATATTACTAGCTTATTTTTTACTTCATACATTAAATAATGTTTACAGATTAACTTAAATCCTCTAAACTTTTCTAAAATACTCCACACAACCACTGGTTTGCATGAACTTCCTTTATTTTTCTTTATCATTTACAGCATTGTTTATATATATCTCTTTTTAATAGGCTATACATATTATATATATATTTTAGGCTATACATTGCCTATATTTAAACTCGTTTAACAAACATTAGAAGAAAAATTCAACATTAAACAGAAGTAATTCACGTGTAATCGACCACGTGTAAGTCTCTGTTATTCTGTTTCCACCCTAACGGCGCTGGTTCTCGTACCCGCTGGAGTCGTGTTCGGCGGGGAACTGCTAACGGACCACCGCCCTGCATTTCACTCATAGCTGAAACATGCTGTGACTCCATAACCTGCCAATAAACAAACAATAAACAGCTCTGAGGACATGTTTTAACATCCAAAGTATTATATTCTGTATCTTTATGAATAAAATTGTTTATTTTATGCAAAGAATCAGGCTTTTCCATCACACGAATCACAAGATTTCCATCACAAGACTGTGACACTCGTTAAAGGTGATTCACACCACGCGCCTGTATGTTGCTCTGCATAAAATTGAACGATATACAAAGCACAGTAATGATTTTATAGATAAAATAAAATTTACACAAACCTGTATTTTACCGAAGAATGCATCAATTCGATGGTGCTTAGAACTGCTCTCTCGTGAAGAGAAGATGCAAATTCCCCGCAATAAATAACTCAACCGCTGGGTTACGTCTGACCCAGGATCTGAGTAACACAAAAACTACCCAAACATTGGGTTATGTCTGACCCAGGAGCTGCAAAACAACCCAAACCCTGGGTTGTTACATTTGACCCAGGAGCTGAGTAACACAAAAATTACCCAAACACTGAAAAAATAACCCCCCCAAAAAAGACCCAAAAAGCTCAACCCAGCATTTGGGTTAAAAAAATAACCCAGGATTTTTGAGTGTATATTATTCCTGGGCCACAATAATTCAATATCTGATGACTCAATAAATGCAATTCACCTTTATTCTTCAAGGTGGCACTGTTTGATAGACAGTGATGATGTGATGTTTCACTCATAATTACCGCAGGCATAAAACAAAAGAATATCATCAGCAAAAGCTGGGACCAAGACTAAGATTGCAAATATGAGCCAGATGCTGAATGTACTGGGAAAATGCGCTCTGACGTTGACAGTGATTGTAAAATCCATGCATTTAAGGGTTAAATAACCAATTTGTGTTTAAATTCACATAAAAAATGTTTTTTTTTTTATTCCGTTTTTGTGATATTAGTTCTCCTACAGGCTGTTTTTGTGCTTACCAGACATCTTCAGCATCCTCATCACACTCAGCCCCAAACTGGCAAATGTCACAGGTGGTCGTCTCTTTCTGTCCATTCTCTGCCGAACCCTCGTTTCCTGCTTGGATACACAAAGACAAGACAAGACAACATAAGCTATCAAACGTCTGACAAATATTACTTGGGGCAAGATGAGCAGGCATTCACAGTCCATCTCTCTCTCTCGCTTCCTCTCACACAAACATTCATAAATAGATGGAGAGACAGAGGACAGAAATAATTCTTATTCAGTCTTTGTCTCTGGCTCTCATGAGAAGTTCAAATCCCCCACTGATCTTTCCTCAGTCTCACCCCTCATTTCATCATGATGATTTCTGATTTGCCGCTCCTGCTCCCTGGCGATAGAGGCTTCCCAGGAGCCGAAGCTTAAAGCCCCTCGTTATCACATATCTGCCCTCATCAGTGGACGGGGAAAAGCAATCCCGTACATCATGGAATTTAAATTACGTCTCCTCCTCAGAGGATCATCGCTCCCCTTTGGATCCTGACCCTCCATTATGAAGTGCTATTTTTAAAACTTAGACCGCAAAGACAAAGAGATGAAAAAAGAAAGGCAGGCAGATAAAAGTAAGAAAGTATTCTGCACTTCCATGCAAAGAACAATGTTTAAGTCACAGGTGTTACTGTTTTGCTATATGTCTTTCTGTTGATTCTCTTTTAAGTTTTTATTTTCCTTCATTTTGGTCTAGATGACAACTACAAATACAAGCTGTGCACTGACACCGTGTCCTTTCACAGATCAAAGATTAAATAAATCTATGATTTTTTAAAATCCCAAACAAAAAAAAATTTATTCAGCAATATCACATGAAAAAGAGTTCTGTTGTTCCAAATTTTCAGACCAACAGTACAACCGCTTTTATAACAGTTCAATGAACCGTCAATATTAATTAATATTAATATTAACAGTATAATACTATTAAAATGAATATTAACTTACATTTTAGACACAATAGTGGCAGTTATTTTGTGCATTTTTGCTTTGCCAGTGAAAATAGTTCCAAATGAGTAGTTTGGTATCAAAATGTTACAAAATCAACTGCTGTGTTTTGTTGCTGAATGAATCAGTTTTCTGACAAATCTTTTGAGTGAATAATTCAATTATTCACTCATACTAATTTGTTTTGTCTTCAATGAGTTAGTATTTTGAATGAATCACTTGAGTGAATGACTCAACGCCTCACTCTTAAAGACAGTCACTTGCTTTGCTCCTGAACAAATCAGTATTTTGAATGAATCGCTTGAGAGAACGATTCAAAGGCTCACTCAAAAAAGTCACCTGTTGACACCTACTGTCGTAGAAAAGAGCCACTAAAAATACCCACCACTTATACAGAGACTGTCTGGAAGGCACAAAACAGACAATCGGGGAGTCAAACAATAAAAAGTAGAAGAAAATCAATGAAAAAGAGTAAAATAAACTGTGAGTATAAGATTTATTTTGATAGATTTTTTTTTTGTTAATGTGAACGCAATGGCTAACATTAATTTCACAAACATAATAGATCAAGCTTTACTCCAAACACATCTCCTGTCCAGCATCATGAGCGGAGCTGATTAACCCAGCACCCAGCTTCTCCCTGATGTGCGGCTGCATGGACCCAATGGTCTGGAAATGAGAAACGTGTCAGATGGCAGGGTCAGTAACAGATATCTCCATCTCTCAGTTAGATAGACCTTCTGAATTGATTTTCCCTGACCAGAAACACAGTCACCAACCCCCTCTTTTTTTTCATCTACAACCGCCGCCAAAAAGATCCTGCTTCTGATCGTGTTTATGTGTGTGAAAACCCTAGGTCAATGATTGATTAAATGTATCTGTTTTGTGGATAATGGCTACAGAAATCTAGTCTTTTGTTATTGTTATTGTTAATGATGAATCTTTAAAGCGCTTTTCATAAGGCGAAGACATTCAAGGTTATGAAACATTAAAATGTAGCGATCCGAGCACATACTGAGCAGAGGAATAGTTTTTGCTTTAAATGGTGGAAGGAAAGGAGATACTCAAATGAACAGAAGACAGATGGTGAGTGACCAAGAAAATGACTCTTAATGGGACAAACCTACTTGCGCAGAAACTAAGGAGAAAGGTGGGGGTGGATTTAGGGCACAACATGGGCTGTCAGACAGATGATGAATGAAGCCACCCATCTCCTGAACAGTGTATGGAAACTGACCTTCACAAACAGGAAGAATGAGTGTATACACCCACACACACACACACACACACACACACACAGGTTTGTTTTTGTGAAAAGTGGGGACATCCCATAGGCGTAATGGTTTTTATACTGTACAGACCGTATATTCTGTTGCCCTACACCAACCCTACCTCTAAACCTACCCCTCACAGGAAACTTTGTGCTATTTCAGATTTTCAGTACACTCCATTCTGTGTGATTTATAAGCGTTTTGAAAAGTGGGGACATGGGGTAATGTCCTGAAAAGTCACCTTCTCCTTGTAATACCTATGTCATACCTTTGTCATTATACAAATTTATGTCCTCATTTGTCACAAAAACGCGCACACATACACACACACACACACACAAAAATGTGTTTCCTAATTATAGTTATATCATTGGAACAAATTAATACGTAGTAGGAACAATGTCTTAATTTGTGGCCAGAATATCTATTGGTTTCCACATGTGTTGTGCAAAAGGCACCAGATAAGTGTCAGATAATTTTTTCCCAGAACATATATCATAGATATAAACAGATGAATAAATTAATACTTTATTTGGCTCATAGTCATTTTTTTTATGTATAGTTGAGTATTTAAAATGGAGTAATAAAGCAAATTCAAGACATATTCTCTGAAAACCTCAAGAGTCTGATTATCTAACAGACATGATCTAACTAATCTTTGCTTATAAACATCATTGTTTTGCAGAGTACATTGTTTCGTTTTACCTCATTTGCAAATTCGCTGAGATAAATTTTATTGTTTCATACATGAGCATGAGATGGAAATGAATTCCACTTGATTCTTTTGAGTGGTATTCATCGCAATGCACACAATGAATGAATGGATGGATGATACTGTAACTCCTGGGTCATTTAATGAAAAGCAGCTCAGATTAACACAAACACACACACAATTTGTGAAATGGAAGGGGTTTAGAACATCACAGTTAAGCATTTGCTTAAACAATGAGGATCATGAAAAAGCTCTCCCTGGACTCGAAAAGGTCAAATTACACCATGAATATTATTTTGTATTTTGAAGATGCATTACTACAATGCAATGCTGTATTAGCATATGTGAAAAAAATGTAATGGAAGAAAAGCCTACATCCACAAACCCCTGAAGAGATGCCACCAGACAAGAACATGCTGAGCTCTTAAGGGACACAAAGGTCAAGTGAATCTCCACAGATGGAGGGGACACATTACATCTTTGAATCAATAGAGAATGTAGGAAGCATAATGCTTACAGTGGAAAGATGATAGCCTGAAAGAGGATCTTTGGATTTCCACTGATCTCCACAAACTAATGATGCCACTTCTATATGGTGAATGTGACATTTAAGTTTTATGCATGATGAGCAACAGAATAATCTTACTTTCTCAAAAGAATCTCCAGAGTGATGAAAATTGTCTTGTTCCTCCTTTTGTACTGCAGTAATGTGACTTTTTTTTCTGGCAGTGATTGCAAAATTCATGGAATGACTTTATAGGTGTTCGGTTTCAACACATTGCCTATGGGTATCTGAGAGCGAAAGTTATTTTTAAATCTTATTGTTTTAACTTATTTTTCTCGAAAACAAAAGGATCTTTTTTTTCATAAATATGGTACCAGGCTATCAATGCTTTAATCATGCGGTCATCAACTAAGCCTTCACCACATTGGGTTCATTAAAGCCTACTTCACACAAATAAGGATGTTTGAGTGTCTCGGTCCCATTGGGAAAAGCATGTCGTAAAACCCCTCTGGCACTTTGCCTCTTCTATCCACACCTGACAGCATAGAAGACCTTGCCAATGACCCATTTGCGCATGTAATTACAGCAATCCACTGACGATGGTGGCGCAGAGCGAAGGTGTCTAATTTTGTGGAGTGCTCCCGAGGCCATTTTCTTCCACTGGTTGACAGCTTTTGGAGAGTGCTTTGAAAGCCAGATGAGGGTTTGAATTGGCAAGAGAAGTAAGAGCCAATGTGTGAAATTCAGGAAAGGAGGCCCGAAACGGGCTGCCCTTCTTCAAGGGATTAGGGAAGAAGAATTAGGAATTAGGGTTTAAAACTTAATTTTTTCCAGCTTTGACCAGATTAAGTGCTGCTCGCTGAAAGTCTTCCATTGAGCGCTAAAAGACCCAGCAGAAGGTCTACGAATCGGTTTCACTCTGGGTCATTACACTGCACAAGGGTCAACCGTGTAAAATAAACACATAGACATTTAACATACACTCAGAAAGACTCTTACGATTGAATCACATACTGTACATTAGACGTACACCCAATCCATAAACACCATTTCACTTGCATTTGATACAGCTGTACCATGTCTAAAGCTTTCCATTATCCTCCCATGAGAAGTGCTGCGAGGTTCAGAGCCTCTTACATTTACACACAAACCAACACGTGTGCTGATCTCCATCTCTGACCATGATCTGCCCCAATGGCACCCATAATAACACTTGTGATGGAGCCGCTCTCAGATATATAATGGAAGAAGAGTGCAGGGGAAGGAAAGGAGATGAAGAGTTGAGGATGATGAGAAATGAGAGGTAAACAGGATGGAGAGAACATCAAATGGCATTTGTGGTATGTAGCAAGGAGAAAGAATGAAAGAAAAAACAACAACAAAGTAAACATGACAATGACGGAGAGCAATCAAAAACAGGTGAAGGATGAGAGACATTAAGAGAGACTGAGAGAGATAAAGAGACAGAAAAAACATCTTCAGCAGCTAAACGGTCGATGGGCAGTCAATAAAGTGTCACTTTCTGCAAGCTAAGAAGCCGGCCTTGATGAGGGGATCTGACCAGGATCGAGGCTGAAATTAACATTTGCATTAGTAGCCACAGCAACTAGTGCTTTAACCCACTGAATGACCT